TGTGGTTTGTCTTGTTGCACTTTCCACAACGCTGCACATCATCGTCAGACTCAGTCTCGCGACCAGCACCCTTCACAGTGAACGGCTGCTTCTGGTTGGACAATGTTCTTTCCACTCGAGACTCCGGCTTGATTCTCATGTCGAATGACAAGTGCATAGGCTTTGTTTACAGTGGGCAGGCTCTAGCAACAAAGTGTTGCTACAAACTGTAGCATACGAGTCATTTAAGCCTATGAGGAACTTCATCATTTTCTCAATTTCGATATATGACGTTATCTCTTTCTTCGTCTCACAACAGCATGTCGGGATTGAACACAAGACATCATGTTCATCCCAAAGACTATTAAGTTTAGTAAAATAAAAGCTTACTGTCATATTATTTTGCACACAGTCATGGATTTCGTTCTCTATATGAAATAGTTGAACGATGTTCACATGAGAAAACCTCTCTTGCAAGTCGAGCCACATCTACCCTGCATCCTTGCAGTGTATGAAAATTCCCGAGATCTCCTTGGACATGGAACCAAGCAACCACGCTTTCACCAGGTTGTTGCATCGGTTCCATTGTTGTAGTTCTTCAATCTATTCATCACTTGGCTTCTTGATTGTTCCATCAATAAGCCTTAATTTGTTTTTGACCATCATGGCCATGGTCATGGATTGAGCCCATGTACCATAGTTATATTCCACAAGCGGCTGCGGCACAAGTATTGCACTAGGTTGATCCGAGTGATGAAGGTAGAGTAGGTGATTAGGGTCTTCCTACTTTTGATACAAAGTCATGCCTGAAGAGGTTGACTTGTCCAGTTTGTCGCCCATAGCTATGTTTGCTAAGGTTTGTATTTTTTTGTTTTGTGTTTTTCCCAGTTTGATCACTCTAGTACCATCTAAAGAAACTAGATATTATGAAATTGCTTTCTTGATTATTCACACAACAAGATTATATCTTTATACACACAGTGCATATCACAATCCTACTCTATTGCCTATAATCAAGGCTAACTGAGAACTAAATAAGGAAGTAAATCTCTAATGAATAATTTACAATGTTTGACTAATCAATCCGAGATATCCTCTTCAACAAAATATTTTATGACCATATGCTATATTGTGATCACCACTACAAATTATCATTTGTTCGATAAAATTTTGCTTGAGAATGATAATTCATTAAGCAGAAAAGGTGAACGTTTTGGTTTCTTCATACGTTTGACCATACGCCCTATTTGAGACTACTAAGGCAGGTGGTGGACTCTTTCATTAGGGAAGGGAAGAAGGGGCCTAAGCACGGCGAATGCAGTGCACCTAAGTGGCATAGGAAAGCGAGATCGTACCTGAACCCGATCATTAATTTAAAATATTTACACTAGTGAATACCACAAAATATTACGTTATACTTAATGGAAGTATAGAATAAACTCCAAGTGTTTATTCAATATATTGTTTTGATGAGATACACATTCTACGCAATATCCAACCATCGAATTTGTTTATTTATCGGAGATCGCATACGCCAAAAATCACCAAAAACATATGTTCGAAGATTAGGTAACGGGACAAAATCTTTCGACGATTACAAACGAAAAATAGTGATTTAATAGCTATGTAACCTTTAATTTTGATTTTTTTAAGAACCGTAATTAAGAGTACATGATCATCAAATTTGATCATCTTTCAATCGTGTGAAATAAATTTAAAAAGTAAGGAAAAATTAATTTTTGATGTTTGCCCAACAAAATAGGTGCCAGTCGCGTTGGGCAACCATACACATATTCGTCAAGCAACACTATTATATTCGTTGGGCAAACCTTAAAATTTTTCCCCAAATAAAAATTTTTCCCCATAATAAAAGGTTGCCCAACAAAATGTCCAAAATTTCATTAGGTAAACATTATTTCGTCAAAATTAAACTGTTTTAAGCGATTTGGCTGACGAACATTTGAAGTTTGCCCGATGAAATTTTAGGGTTTTGAACACGTCATATTTTTTAAACCTTTGCTCGACGAATCATTTCATTGGTCAAATGTCTGATATGTTATAATTCGAGAGTACTTCTTCTTCCTCCATGCCGCTCAACCTGGAAATCTCTCTCTCTTTCTCGTCTCTTTATCGTTCTCTCTCAAGTCTCTCAGTACTCTCTCTATCCTCTATGTCTGTGAGCCACCACCACCGTACTCTCTCGACATGGGCCACCAACACCCTTACTTTTTTCGTCTGTGAGCTACCACCACCACCATCACTCTCTTTTCATGAGCCACTACCACCATCAATGATCTCTCTCCTTCCTACTGCGAACCACCACCTACAAAATCAAAGGTAAATGTTATATTTGAATTTGTGAAAATAGTGATTTTTAGGGTTAAAGTTTTTTTATTTTCAACATTTGAAATTTTTTTATCCCAGTCTGGTACCTAAAGTCATAATTCTGGAACACTTTCATACATCTGTTAATCTAGAACAAAACTAGAAATAAAGAATATGTAATTAGATCTGAAACAAAAATAAACTGAAATTTTAAATTAAAAAACGCATATGGCAGGAGGCTAATATTGTTTTAATCAGTATAATTACTGTCTTACTTTTGATTTATATAAATGTGGTTTATTGTAGGTAAGTATAAAAAATAAAAAATTAAAATATGATTGGTATTTTAGAAAAGAGGTTGACAAACCCTCCTCTCATTTAGTTATATATATATATATAAATTAGAAATGAGCGCCTAGTGTTTGAAGACAACATGGACCTTAGTTTTTTTTTTTTTTTTTTTGGTTGAAAACTCTTCAAAAGTTTTTTTTTTTTTAATGAAATTGGATAAAAAAGAGTATTAATTTAGAGAAATTTGAAAAACTAGGTTTTATGGGTCCATTAAACACTGTCAGAGCAAAGCCCATAAAGATATGCACCATCTTCCTATGCACCCAAGAAGGCCCAGCCCATAAAGATATGCACCATCTTGCTATGCACCCTAGGAGGTCCAGCCCATAAAGATATGACCATCTTGCTATGCACACTAGAAGGCCCAGCCCAATTTATTTATTCAGTTTCAAGGAGCCCAAAGTAGTTGTGGGGTTGAAAGTTATGAATTGTAATGTGGGCAACCCAAACATACAGAGCACTTTCCCAATGAGTGTTTATATTTTTATCCAATTAATTTCATACATGAAATTTGAACTCAAGATCTTCTCTAATGATCGTTGACACATATTAACTGAGCTTGACCTCATTTTTGTGGCAATTAATACGTGTTGTACTTTTATGCGCAAACGGAAGCGAATTATAACAAAGTATCGAATATCAACGTCGTAGGTGAAAGCTAAAACAAACAATCTCAAACTAACACAAGAGATTTACGTGGTTCGGCATAAAGCCTACTCCACGGACGAAGCACGGCGAGGAATTTCACTAAACAAACGGAGATTACAAAAGAGTGTTTAAACTCTCACAACCCAAATCCCACAAATTACAAACCCTAAACCAAACGAGTAGATAACCCAAACCTAACGGAGAAGATTCTTCCAAATTGCTCTCTAACTCACAAACTCACAAATTGACTCTCATCCAATTTGCCAAACGAATGAGCCACGAATTTGCCACACTCATGACTCCAAACGGTGACATCCACCCAAAACCAAAATAGAGAAAAGCTCTCTAAACCATGATGAGGCACACTGAATACACTAACCCTAAGGTCTTATTTATAGTGCATAGGACTTAGGTTACAATAGGAATCCTAATAGGAAATAAATCCAAATCCTAATCAAATAGGTAATTAACAAAATCTCTCCACCAAGGAAACTAACTAAGAAGTCAAAACCAAACCCAAATAGGACACCAATACCAAATAGGTAACACAAACCTAATTTAGCATCATCCTAATTTTGAGCCAAAAACCCAACAATACGTACTTGTTACCTCAATTATTATAATCAATTATAATTACATGTCCATCTATGCAAAGTTCTGCATTCCATTTCCCCCCTCTCAATATCACTTATATCCAGTGCTTAAAATACTCACAAAATTGTCAATATTTATTATTTCCATCGAAATATTTGAAAAATCAATGATCGATATAAAAAGAGGGGTGAAATGCAAACTTCACCTTATACCGGCGAGATATAGAAAAATAAATTAATATCGCGATGATATTTACTGATTCGGTACAAAATGTAGCTAGAACCCATTGCAGATTTTAAACTTTTAAATTTCTTTTAGAAAATTTTCATTGATTTCGACTAAATCTGAATGCGTCGATACCCATCCCATTGAAAATTGAATAATATTCATAGAAGACAACCGATATCAATATATTCCTTGATATTTCTATAAATTTTCTTAATGATATTTCCACCTATGTTGATATTTTAAACACCGCTTACAACAGAACACAAAAAATCCTATTTGGTTTGTAAAATAGATTTGGCCCATTAGCCCATTTAACACAAGTTCATTGAGAGCTGCATCGAATAAATTTGCATCCACCTTAGAAACGGTGAGCTGGAAGTCCGAACCTACCACATGCGGAAGCAGTAGATCGCTTCCTACGTCATCCGGCGGTGAGAAGTCAAAATATCACACGTGGTCGAGACCGTCGGTAACTTTCCTATTTTCTCCAAAACAATGCTCTCAACTCTACATAATTACATCACTACTCGCTCGTAGATACTTCCACGTGTCCGATGCCGAATTTCTAGAAGACTTTTAGCCAATGAAGGGCGAGTGTGAGTTGTTATTCTACTCGAGAGAGTGAGATATGATTGTATTCTCAATAATTGGGTTTTTTAATGGGCCTATGGGCTGGGATGTTTAATTAATCAATACGATGTACACGGTAAAACAAAGCCGTCAGATCTGAACCTTGCGTGTGCGAATTTATTCGTTTTTTGACCGTTGGATCGTCCAAGTGGATGATCAACGGCTAAGATTCCTTTTTAGCGGCGGGCGATGAGGCCTCGCGGGCCTTTATATATAGGCATCGAGGGAGAGGGAGAGCCCATACTCATCCAAGGCTTGGGATCCCAACTAACCCTCTCTCAGTCTCTCTCTCTTCGTTTTTTTCTTCCTCTCTCTCTCCTCTCTTTCTCTCTCTACCCGACGAAAGGGCTTTCTAGGGTTTCTGAGGCGCGCGCCTAAACGGCTCCCGCGACGAGATCCAGGTTTTGAATTGGGGATCCTCCGAAGGAGAATCTAGGGTTTTGTTTGACCAATCGCATTCAATTTCTCCTCCCGCGCATTTGTTTTAGCTTCGGGTTTTGCCCTAATCATTTGCGATCTAGGGTTTTCAGCTTTGGGGGTTTATAGAGAGAGCGAGAGAGACCCGAGTATAGGTTTTGCTCGTGTAAGTGTTTGAATTCCTTTTATCCTTCGTTGCTTTTTTTGTTGGGCTCTCTATTTCTTGAAGGAGCTTTCGATCTGAGCAATCGGAAAAAAAAAAAGCTGCTTTCTTTTGGGGGTAGTGGGTCGAATCCGAGTGTTTGAACATTCCCATTTGCTTAGATTTTCAGATTATTGTCAGAAATTGTTTGTTGATTTGCATATTGGCAACTTGTACAACTGCGAATTTTGAATTTCGAGCATTTGCTTGGACATCAAATAACCTGAAATTTTTTGGCCTTTGACAACAGAAAAGATATAGTACCAACAATTTGGTTAATTGGGAAATTTGGGGTTCTAGGTTTCGAACCCGAAGGCGAAAATTTGGACATTTTTGTATTTTGGGTGTCATTGGATTTAACATTGAGGTACTAAACTTAATTGCTACAGGCTACAGCTGATATGTGCAGTAATTGGGAGTGTATCTTATGGCACCAACTGTTCCAATAGAATTCACTGGACAGAAAGAAAGGAAGTGTTTTCCTTCGCAGATGATGGGAAAGTCACGGAAGTACTCTAAAGGGCAGTTGTCTGGTTTTGTTCCAGATTACCGGCATGCTGTTGAGACCTTGGCTGAATCGGAGGGGTTTGGAAGCTCAGGACGCGTAGACACAGAAATGACAGCTTCGGAGGATTCATGTGGGCCTAAAAGGAAATCCATTAGTTTGAATGTGGATGGTTATGATGGTTATGGGGTGCCAATGCAAGTATTGCCGTTGTCGCGGATGTCGCGGTCTGAAAGGAGGGATTTGGAATTGAGGCTGCAATTGGAACTTGAACAGGTACGGGTTCTTCAGAGGAGAATTGCTACTATGAGTTCCAGTGTTGCTGTACTATCCCCATCTAGTGATATTCGGAGTTGCAGTGATGGGAAAAAGAAACCTCCACTCGATAGATATCAAACATCATCAGCATTTTCTGCGCCTCAAGGTAAGAGAAAGGCTCCTCCTGGGCGTAATGGTGGCCGCACGAAAAAAAGCATGTCGAAACCTTTGGAGCCATCAAGGCCATTGGCTCCAGCCACCAATTCAAATGCTACGTTGATGAAACAATGCGAACAATTGCTGACCCGCTTAATTAAACATCAGTTTGGTTGGGTTTTCGAGAATCCAGTTGATGTGGTGAAGTTGAACATACCAGATTATTTTACGGTCATTAAGCATCCAATGGATCTGGGCACTGTGAAGAGCAAGTTGAATTCAGGCGTTTACTCTTCTCCATTAGAGTTTGCTGCTGATGTGCGGCTTACTTTCTCAAATGCTTTGACTTACAACCCTCCTGGAAATGAGTATCACATTATGGCCGAGACCCTCAGTAAATATTTTGAGCAGAGATGGAAAGCCATACAGAAGAAGCTTCCAGGAACAACTGGTTTGCAGTCTTTGCCTTCAAGAGCAAGACCGGCTGTTCGTGAAGAAACCAATACTGCCCTATTGCCACCCTCAAAAAAGAAGAAAAGTACACCTGTTGATACTGCTATCAGGCCTGAATCTTTTAAACGCATCTTGACTGTTGAGGAGAAGGTTAAACTCACGCAGGAGCTGGATGATTTGCTGGGAGAATTGCCTGAAAATATTGTTAATTTCCTAAAAGAGCATAGCAGTAGTGAAGGGCAAACTGACGAGGATGAGATTGAGATCGACCTTGATGCCCTTAGCGATGATACCTTGTTCGCCTTACGGAAGCTTATGGATGACCATCTTTTGGAGAAACAGAAAAGGCAGGAGAAAGTTGAACCTTGTGAAATGGAGGTATGTTCATCTTTTCATTATATTTTAATGCGGGGATGTTTTCAATAGTTTCTCAACCCAACTTTTGCATCGATTTCTTATTATTGTACTCCTTTGGTTTCTGCAGATTATTAACGACTCGGGATTTAGCAACTCATCAATGCAACCCTGCAAAGGTTCATTTGCAATAACGGCTCTGTGAATTTTTAAATGTTAAAACTGTTCAAAAAAATTTCTTGCGCAAACTTATTTCTAACAGTGGAAATGGTATCACATTATGTACTCAGGCAATGATCCAATTGATGAGGATGTGGATATTCTTGGGGGGAATGACGCTCCTGTTTCAAGCTTTCCTCCAGTAGAGATAGAGAAAGATGCAGCTCACAGAAACAGTAAATGCAGTAGCGCAAGTAGCTCCAGCAGTGATTCAGGCTCTTCATCTAGTGGTTTGTCTTTCTCCACACTTCTCATATATGTGGTTTTAATTGTTTTCAATGTTCTGATTGTGGAGTTTGTTGGTCTTAGGATCTTCTTGCATTGGGTTGATGGGAACATTGCTTCTGTACTAAATGCCGTCTTTGTCTCTTCCTCTCTCACTCTCTCTTATACTCACACACGCACATGATGTTTGTTGTGCAGTGTGAGACTAACATTGCAATCTGCGATTGTTATCCCATCTCACTTGACCATTGAATGTAGTGTGAAGTTGCAGTCTGATTGTTATCACTGTCTTTCTAAACCATGAAAGTAGTTTCGACTGTCTTCTATTATTGTTTAGTTATCCTGCTTCCTCGAATGGTTTGTATTGCATTGCTGTAGTGATCTACGGAATTTGGTCAAGGAAAAATGGTATCTGAGTGCTCCTATTCCCAACCACCTTTTATCCATATCTTATGAATATGTGGTTGGGAAATAGGACATGTGGGTGGATTGGTAGCACTCCTGAAATATAGTGAGAGTTAGTACTAAGGTAAAAAAAATGAAAACACAAATAAAATTAAGTTCTCATGTTTTTGTCATTTAACCATATTACATTCATCACATTTGAAATGCTGGTTTTGTGTTTCTATATTTTTGTAGTTTGTTAGAATTATGTCCACTTTAAAAAGGTTTGTAGTTTGTTAGAACTATGTCCACTTTAAAATGGAAACAAGGGTAACTGAAGTTATATCCTTCTAGTTAAGAAATAGGTGTTTCTCTCTTTGAGCGTATAGTTGACTTCATTTGGTAACCGGGGCTTCATGGAAAAGTCTTGATAGCGATAATAAATGTGTTGTTGGAGATGTTTGATTAAGCTGTCTGAATAATTTTATGATATGGTCCTCTGGGTACAGAAATTAGTATGTTTACAATATAAAAGTGTCTTTTAAACTGAAAACATGTATATTTTAAAAGTTTACAATGATGCTAGACACAAATTTAGGGCAATATGGTATATCATGGGGTGGATTTGTTGTAACCTCATTAGTTTCACCCCTTAGTATATATCTTCAATTCAGTGATACTATAATTTGAAGCGTACAAAAAAGTTTGTATTTGAGGACTTTTCCATTTTTAATTTTTTTGCGATTTTAAAATAAACGTTCACATAAGCATGCATGCACATTCGCTCAATGTTCAAAGCTACAAATACAAGATATGAGTTGCTTTACAAGACTTATGATATTTATTAGGTCTGAATCAAACTATTGTGTTACTGGTGATCTTCCTAGCTGGGCTTGTTTTGATGAGCCGCAGGAGTGATTCCAGGAACATTTGTCTAGCCTCCTTTGAAACTATAAGATGCTTTTTGTTATCACAATGTTTCCATAGGTTCCAGCATATTATTCCAAATATAAATCATCCCCATTCCTACAATTTCGGGTGTTTGTTGCTGACATGATAGAAATTTTCACAGATTCTGATTCTGGCAGTTCTTCAGAAAGTGAATCCGATGATGCTAAAGCTCCAGCTTCTATTGGTGGAGGAAAGGTATACTGTAATATTTTGAAATGTGTTGATAAACTGGTTCTTCTGCCTTGGATATTTATTGTAATATATGTGACTTTACTAAGCATGTAGTTAGTATGGTACTCTGTCACTTCCCCATTCTCTCCTGTTTGTTTGTGAGTTGTGGAAAAATTTCTGACATCTTCATTTGGCAGGAAAATCTGGGTACTGGAGCAAATTCAGACCAAAAGAGAAGTGATATTGGGGATTCAGAAATTGGAAATAGTGAGTTGTGGATTTATGTTGCATTTTTTCTATTATTGAATTAGGTAGTTAAGAAGTTCTCTAAGAGTCATTGTCATGAATTTTGAGTAGATTCAATAAATTGGGTGGCCCCACTAGAGCAGGACGCCCCGTCTAAACCAAATCCTGTTGAGGAGGCTGGACATAGAGAGGGTAAGCATGAATAATCATCAAGACAACTTTTCTGCTTGTAATTTTGGGGTACCATCTTACAAGTCATGCTGTAACATCGTAGGGGAGAGTGCTCCAACTGAGAGGCAAGTCTCCCCCGATAAGCTCTACCGTGCAGCTTTATTGAGGAATAGATTTGCTGACACAATACTAAAAGCCCGAGAGAAGGCACTAGAAAAGGTTGGTTTCCATTTTCCATGCTCGGTGCATTTTTCCTTGATGTATGCATCCAAAATTTTGTTTGTGTTTTTTTCATTTGAGATGTGGTCAGTTCTCGTCTAATATTTATGGTACAGGGTGAAAAGCTGGATCCCGAGAAATTGCGAATTGAAAGAGAGGAACTTGAAAAGCGGCAAAAAGAAGGTTTGGCTTTCAAAACTTTAGTTATCTTATCTGAGATTAGGTCTGCATTTCGTGCACCAGAAATCAAGGTGGTCAACAGTTTATTGATTGTTTTAAATATTCAATTTTACTTTGGGCGTCATTAGAGAAAGCACGCTTACAAGCTGAAGCCAAAGCTGCAGAAGAGGCTCGAAAGAAGGCTGAAGCAGAAGTTGCAGCCACAGCGAAAAGGCAGAGGGAACTAGAAAGAGAAGCCGCACGTCAGGCACTGCAAATGGTAAGAATATCATTATGTTGGTGGAAGAATTCTACAAATCTTCTCTTAATTAAACTGCAGCTGATAATTGGGTTTGTGCAGATGGAAAGGACTGTTGAAATTAATGAGAATAGTCAGGTTCTAGAAGATCTAGAAATGTTTAGGGCAGTTGTTGATGAACATGTGCCAATTTTCACGGAGGAGACCACCCCGGAGCATATTCAGGATGAGCTTGCCCGGCTTGGTAGTTTTAAGCTACAGGGTAGTAATCCCTTAGAGCAACTTGGTTTGTTCATGAAGACAGATGATGATATAGAAGAAGAAATTGAACCTCCCCAGAGTGCCCCAGAATCAGAACCAGAACCAAAACCGGAAAGGGAACCAGAACCTGAACATGAAGTAGAACGAGAACCAGAACCAGAACCAGAACCAGAACCAGCAAATGGTGTTGAAGCAAAAGACGTTGAAGAAGGAGAGATCGATTGATCTGTTTTTCTCTTCACGTTATTGTACCAACCGAGGAACAGAAAAATGGAGGTTCTGAGGTGCTGTGGGGCAGTGACTTGGGATACTTTTACCTGGAGTTGTTGGCCACAGTATCATCTCTTTCCTGAAAGGGGAAGAAGATCGACTTAGCCGGAGAAGAATTGCCAGCAACAGAAATTGAGTTCTGGGTTGGGTTTTCCAGCTTGTGTTATGTGAAACGATTTTTTTGTTCTTCATACTTTCTCCAAGGGAAATGAAGGGTGGAATTTCGAACATAACTGGATTCGATCCAATCTTGCCCATGGCTGGGGGATGTATGAATCAGGGGAAAATCCAAATTTTTGTGTGTAAAAAGAAAAGTTTAATCTTAGGTAGAAGGGTCGGCTTAGAATTGTAAAATATCATTCTCCTCGGGACTATTTCGGCATTCTACCCATTTTTTACTGGGGAAAAAAGATGTCTTGATTTGTTGGGAGTTTTTAGGAAGGAATAATGGCAGATTTGGATTTTGGAAACGAGTTGGAAGATTTGGTTTCGTTTTCTCTCGTCTTCTTTCATTCATATATTTTGGCATCCTACCTGTATTTCTAAAAGAGTAAATTGTAGTAATGGTTTTTTAATTTTAATCAAATTAGAGCAATGATTTTTCAACTAAAAAAATTTATTACTATTGATTCCTTACTTTATCAAAATGTGTAGTTATGGTCATTTTCGTCGACTTTGTTAGAATTTTGTTAAAATAAGTTATGTTGGAATGACAATTACTACAATTGGGATCCTTCAACTCATTAAAACGTGTATATATGGTCTTTTTCGTCAATGAATTTGTCAAACTAAGTTATGTTTGAATGACCATTGCTATAATTCGATTAAAGTTGATGGATCATTGCTACAATTAGGATCCTTCAACTCATCAAAACGTGTATCTATGGTCATTTTCGTCAACTTCATCAGAATTTGTCAAAATGAGTTATATTGGAATGATTATTGCTACAATTAGGTTAAAGTTGAGGGACCGTTGCTACAATTGGGTTAAAGTTGAGAGATCATTTCTTTAGTTTAATTAAAGTTGAGAGACCAATGGTAATTGATTTTTAGTTGAATGATCATAACTGCACGTTTGATGAGTTGAGAGACCAATAATAATAAATTTTTAATTAAAAGATTATTACTCTAATTAAGGTAAAGTTAAAGAAACCATCGCTATAATTTACTTTTTCTAAAATCTTTTAAGCTGCCACCCCCGTTACGTTCATCTCCACCTGCCACCCCAATGCTCCCATCATCCACCATCACTCCCGCCGCCATTGCTGCCACCGTCGCTTCCACTTTACCTCTTTTGGCCCGGTTTCTAGCATCTCAAATGTTGACGTTGGGGGCAGTGATCGCCGCCACCTCCGCCTCCACCGCAATGTTGAACACGGTACTAAAATAGAAATCGAAGATCAGATCTGAAAGCTATTTTCTCGAATTGTCTAAACATGGGTTTAATTTGTTTTACAGTTTAACACGTAAAAAGTCGAAAAACGAAATAGTTATCAAACAATTCTCGCTTTAATACATTTAAGTCCATCAGTTTAAGTTCGATAATTTTCTTCCGTTAGAAGAAATAAAACGACGTCGTCTTGCAGATACGCATTGTTCACTCCTTTCTCTCTGAAGTCTGAACTCCGATTGATTCAATCTTCTGGCGACCATACTCTCCTCTCCTTCTTCTTTCGCGCCGGCCATTGTCCGACTCTCAATGGCGGCCTCGATCGCCTTCAACTCCGTCGGAGCTCCGGCGCGACTCTCCCGCCAATTCTCCCACCCGCGAAGCTCCTATCCGCTTCTCGGCGGGCTCCGACTGCGCCACGCCTCTCCGGCCATGTTTTCCAGCTCCTTGTCTTCCTCCTCTGGCTCTGGTACTCCAATCGCATTTTCATGTTATTGTGATGGAAGTTTGTATCGGAACAATTTGGCGATGTTTTAACGGAAATGCGATGAAATTGCAGGAATTAGGGCACAGGTGGCGGACGTTGAGCAGTCTAGCGCTGCTGTGTCTCAGAATCCAAAGGTGGAGGCTCCGGTGGTTATCGTCACCGGAGCTTCTAGAGGAATCGGCAAGGCTGTTGCTCTCGCCCTCGGCAAGTCTGGTTGTAAGGTCTCTCATCATCTTCCCCGTTCATCATTACCATCATCGTTCATCATATAACCATTCATCATCATGATCGTGATCATATTCATCGTTCATCATCAACATTTCAATGATTACAGGTGTTGGTAAACTACGCAAGATCATCCAAGGAAGCTGAACAAGTTTCTAAGGAGGTATGGTGCCTTTGTAAATGCCTGTATTTGTAAACAACGCAATTTTAGCAACTTTATGACTTGATTACATACCGATTGCTGACTGCATCGTAGTTGAAATGTTTGGTTAAAGGTCGCATTGTTAACAAATTTTATGGTGGTTTAATTAAATGCTGTAGATTGAGGCATCTGGTGGTCAAGCTCTAACATTTGGGGGTGATGTTTCAAAGGAAGAAGATGTCACAGCAATGATTAAGACCGTGAGTTAATGTGCTTTTTTTTGGGCAAGCTACGCGTTTTTTGGTTGAAATTACTTCTTGCAACATGATGTCATTTGAATCAAATGAATATAGGTGGTCGATGCGTGGGGAACGGTTGATGTCTTGGTAAATAATGCAGGTTAGTCAGCATCACTTTGCTTGCTGTATTTTAGAGTCCGTGTCTCGTCTTTCCTTTTGATTTCAACTGACTGGTCTACAATCCTTTTCAGGAATTACACGGGATGGCTTATTGATGAGAATGAAAAAATCCCAATGGCAGGAGGTTATTGATTTGAATCTTACTGGCGTGTTTCTATGCACGCAGGTGAGTGTTCGGGGGAATTTGTTTATCCAGTAATTCTAGTTGTTCAAGCTTACATTTGTCCGATTTCTGAGCAAGGTTATTCGTGCTTTCTGCAGGCTGCGGCAAAAATTATGATGAAACAGCGAAAGGTAAGCACGTACGTTCTTCCCTTGTTGTATCGTTTCAATTTGAAAAATCCTATTTGCTTTTAGATCCGCTTAGTTATTCATCATATTGCAGGGAAGGATAATCAATATAGCATCTGTTGTTGGTCTTGTTGGCAATGTTGGACAAGCCAACTACAGTGCTGCAAAGGCTGGAGTCATTGGCTTCACGAAGAGTGTTGCAAAGGAATATTCGAGCAGGAACATTAATGTATGTCAGTGGTTGCGCAGTTCAATCTTCAAGACGTTAAACATGAAAGCAGATAGATTTTAAATTTCTATCGTATTGCAGTCTTACACTTTGGGCCCGAAAGAACGTCTGTCTAAATCTTTCTTTTCTCCTAGGTCAATGCTGTTGCCCCTGGTTTTATCGCATCTGATATGACTTCCAAGCTTGGAGAAGACATAGAAAAGAAGATCTTGGGGAGCATCCCCTTAGGTGAGAACACAATCAGTTGGCTACCAGTTATTTAAGCATTAATATAAAACTTAAATTACTCATGTCATTTAAATAAGAGAGAAATTTCATTGATTCATAGGACGGATGATTGAAATTTGATTGACTCTTCTTCCCTTGTTCAGCTAATCTTAAATTCTTAATTTTGAAGATTATGACATAAATTAGATGAATTACGTATCATTTTTACGATTCTTTCAGGGCGATATGGTCAACCTGAAGAAGTGGCTGGACTGGTGGAATTCTTGGCGCTTAATCCCGCTGCCAGCTACATCACCGGACAGGTAATGTTTTCTTTAAGATCTGGTATTTTTCCTTCGATGGATACCGAAAGGGTACAGTATTGATCTAATTTTTCTGCTCATTCATTCTAGGTCTTGACCATTGATGGAGGGATGGTGATGTGAGGGGCTGAGTCCGGCACCCCTACGAGCTTCGTCTTACTTAAAAGTTTCAGAGGAGAGGCTTTTCTTTGCAGTCAATTCTCGGCAGCTTCTAGTTTCAATGAGGAATTGAATAGAAAAGTAGAAAGGATTTTGTTACTTATTAGTTTTAACGAGGATTGTTTTCGCTGATCACTCTGTATGTAAGCAAAAGAAGATTACTTTCGTGTAGTGGTTTCCATCCAAATCGGGCGAAGAGAGTTTGTAAAATTTGTAATTCATAACATATTGAAGCTTCTGTTATTTCTGGGTTGTAGGAAATGAAAAGATATGGATGTTCGTCCCTAATTCCTCGAAAGAAAGAGAAACTATATCTATGCTGGCTCCTAGCAACAAAAATGGGACTCACCGTGCGTAAATCTTCTGCTCCTCACTTTTCTACCAACTGCTGTACAGATGACTTCGTTCCATCCGAGCCATCTTACCGGTTAGAGCCTTAATCCTCGAACATGCCTTCATCCGATATGCTTGCAGATTCGGTCCCGTTGACACGAGGCTGGTCCGACAAATCAACATTGGAGTCGTGTAAGAAGCTGAAATCAAAGTCGTCGTCGTCGTCATCTTCATCATCGTCATTGAAGCTTGTCTCTTCTTCAATTTGTCTTGGTTTTATACCCTTAGCTTCTCTTTCCATCCGTTGCTTGATGCAATCGTCATACGACATTTCATACCAAACATTGCTCTTTCCCACAATTGCTTTGTTATGAGCGTCCGTCAGCCGCTCTTGCTTGCTCTTCTCTGAGTTCTTTGGTTCTCCCCAGTAGTCATACCGATACAGAGGGTTTTGCGGGTCATATTGATCCTTCCCAAAGTAACTGGATTCCACAAACCTTCCCGGCTCTTCAAGTGGTAAACCAAGAGCTTTACGGCTGCACAGAACGTCGCACCAGTTATTGCATAGTTTCAGGAAAAGCAATACAAATTAGCCACAGCCCAGTGAATATGATGCAAAGTCAACGACATTGCCGGATTACCACTTTAATGTTTAATTGCATTGGTGATATTATGGATTAAAAACCAGATTGTACATTTCTACAAAAAGTACAAAAATATAACACTGATGGCCATACCAGCTTATGTCTCTGATCAATGCTTCTCTTTCCTCGAAGGATCGGCGCCAATGTAAAAAGTCATACTCATCCATTTCATCATTCCGCCTCATATTGGTAACTTTGTATTCCTCTCCTCTCTCTTCCGCTTCCTTCTTTAGTGCATTACGTAGCTGCAGCCAAACATAAAAGAACAAATAAATAAAGTGAGAGTGTTCTTTTCTTCAGCCAACTTATATATCGCATAGCAAAAAGAAACGCAACAGTCAATATAGTGCTTTGAGCAAATGTAATACTCAAGAATGTGAATCTAACAGGCAACGGAACAGCTGACCTGGCGCTCAGCAAATGCAGCCTCCAAGTCAAGTTCTTTAACGCTAGTTTTCTGCGTACAAAAATGAAGAACAATCAGTAAATGTCATATCATATATTCATAGAACACAATGCAATGTCACTGGAGAATCATTTACCAGAATCACTTTCGGTATTACAGTTTTCTTATACTGGGCTGTTGTATATTCAACATCGTTTTTTTCATCGTAATCTTCAGGATCAGATAACTCTGACAGTTTTTTGCCTTTGTATTTATCAGGATTAGCCTCCAAATCATTCAAAATCATTTGCTCAGCAACATGTATCTGCCACAACTGCATCAAGACGATAAAGCTAGTCAATGAGTAGCATGATGGTGATAGTGAAAAGTCAATTTTGATTTGAAGGACTCAAGACAAACAAAGAATATCCATATACATTAACCAAGAGTACGGCATTTTAGATATAACACAACAACATTTCAGATATTAAAGATTTACCTTATCAACATAAGGGTGATTCGACAATAAAGGTTCCTCTACCGGATTGTCTTTCGGATCCTTCCTGGGGATAGGAGGCCTTCCACAATCACGCTGAAAAGTGAAACAGACCAGAGCAAAAGCATAAGCATGTGCTGATATTAAATACTAAGACTAAATGCTTCATAGAGCACTGAACTGTACGAAATGACTGAAGGTAAAAAAAATAAAAAAATAAAGACGTGATTGAAATTGTGAAACTGTGGATCCCCAGTTGCAACAATATACTAATGATAGGCATAATAACAGGGGGGAAAGGTGGAAAAAAATGAAACTTAAAGGAAAATCACACACCCGCAATTCATCGGGATTAGTATCTTCATCACGATGAAATATTGGCGAAAAGTCAAATCTGTTAAATCTGGAAAAGTGGACGGAAATATGAGATATCAAGAAGCAAATAAGCCTGAACAGAATTTAAACCTACGAGCATACTTAATCAAACGAAGGGGAGGACTGAAAGTCTGTGAGTAGAAGTACATACATCAGGTGGTCTATATTTGGATAAACAAAACGCATTTCAATGGGAAATCGGAAGCGGTAAGGATCTCTCTTTGCCTGCAAAAGAGAAATTTAGTGAGAGAAAAGATCCACAAGAAATATGATAGAAAGTAAACAAACAATAGAAAGAAACTGAAGCACAGAACTCACCAGGATTTCAACAATGACAGGCATACCAACTTTTATGTGATGTCGGATCCAGTACCAATCATTATTTTTAATCGGGACCCACCTGGCAAGACATCAACACACATGAACGCAATGAACAAAAAACGTTCAGTGACAAAAATACTTTCAGTAACTCTAACAGGAAGCATAGGGATCGATAATCACCCATCATGTACACCTCCAATGTCAACAAATGCTCCTTGATATAGAGCAACGGCTGTCACTTTCCCTTCACAAATCTGCAATACACATTTTCCATTGTATCATCAACCATTATATTTCTTGCTACCAAAGACACTTCATTTACAGTTCTTTTAAGAATTCTCGACAAACGAATCTAATAATGAAAGTGCCATATAACTTAGCATGTTCTGTGTAACCGTAACATAATCATGCTGCGAGGATGACCATCTCAAGTTCTTAGCATTCTTTGGTGAGATTTAAAAGTTCATTTCCAGAATCACAACAAATAAAGTAAAAACAATATTCATAACAACTTACTTGTCCGGGATAATAAAATGGAAGTTCATACTGCACAGAAAAATGAAGACCATGTCAGAAAATTTGGGTAATTCAGAGCAGGGGCCGACAGGGCGGGAGATACAAAAAGAAATTAAAATCCATCATACCATGCCCTCTTTGTAGTCCTTGCCTCTCTTCCTCCTACCGGGATGGTAATCTTGGTCATACTGTATGTCATAAAAAATGCAGAATTTATGGCCAAATCCAACTAATTAGTAAATATCGAACTTAATTCAATTTATTCAATCCAACTATCATCCCTTTTCACCCAAATTTCCAAACTTTATACTCAAATCAAATGTGCTTGAAACTAAGTCAGAATTAGCCAATGGACGAGCTAATAATGTAAAAAAGGAAACAAATTAACAATATCAAATTAACCAAAAAACACAAAAAGATTAAACAAAAAAAGGTTTAATCTTTGCAGACCTTATAGGATTCCTCTTCCAATCGATCCTTATTCGCAGCGACCCACTCCTTATACTGCTTCAAGAACACCTTATACCTATCCAAGCACAAATCATCAGTCTCCATCGTCGCAATCGTCTTCTTACTCTCCAATTCATCCAATCGCACCCTCACCGCCTGCAACTTATGCGCCTCCCTTATATACTCCAGCTCCTTCTTGTCCACCTCCCAACCCATCGGCGGCCAATCCCTCGGAGGAATCAGTCTGACGACCAGAGGAGCCGCCCAAACCGTCTTCAACGGCTCCGGTATATCTCCTCTGATTTTAAACTGTTCGCGGTAGTAGTCGTCTTCCGTCAGGCCCATTTCCTCCATTTTCTTCTTCCGGTAACTGGGTCGGAGCATCCTGAAGGCTTCAATCGCCTCCGGGGACTGGAGAGCCACTTCCTCGCCCTCGTTCAAGCTTTTTCGCGCGAAATCGGCCTCCGGCGAGAGAATCTCCTCCCAGGGGGCCCAGCCGCGCTCGACCCAGTTGCGCTTCCGGGCCTCGTCTTCGGTTTCTTTGTCTTTGGGGCCGAAGTTCTCGAGGAAGGTCTCGTCGACGGGGAACTCGTCGGTGCTGAAGGCCTTGGACTTGAAGAGAAGGGGACGCCATGGAAGGTGGTGATTTTGGTGGTGGTGGAGGTGCTTGGGGTGGGGATTGGAGAATTTAGGGTTTAGGGTTTTAGGGAAGGTGAAGAACTGGTGAGGGGTTTGGAGGACCTGCATTGCTGCGAGAGTGAGAGTGACTGAGAAGGGAGTGCATGTGAGAGTGTAGAAGCTCGGACTGAAAGACGTGTTTTATTTTTGGATTTTGGCGAGTGGATAAGGTAATTACCTTTTATTTTTTGAGAAACCAAATAATTTTTTTAAATGAAAACATATTACAAGTTACAACAAGATAATTTTAACGAAAAATTCTTGAACTATTTATTTTAACGAAAAATCATAATTTTACATGAAAATAACAATCTTGATACTATTCATTTTACCATTTATTTTGTGCTTATCGTTAAAACTCAAAATTTTCAAGCTATTTTTATTAATTTTTCTTTACAACAATCTTAACCTTACATGTGGCATCTAAAACACCCTCGCTTTGGGGAAAGCCACAACACGTACGATTGGCCCTGATTTTTTACGCATGCCGGTCGGGTGCTGACCCGTGAAGGGATATAGAAGTGAGGGCCAAAGCAAATGAGACGCAACGCAGTTGGCTTTGAGTAAAGGATGATGAAGGGAATGGAATGTGAGAAAGAGAAGCAAATGAACAAGATGGAAGAGAATGGGTGTTGGGGGTTGAGGGAGGGTGGTTGCAGAGGACGCTGGAAATAAAAGTCGTGACCTCACAATCTGACAACCATAGGTTTAGAAAATGCAACCTAAAACTAAACAATCATGATCATAAGTTATACCTCAAAAGGTGATGCAGGGCCTAGACGATACTCAGAACAAATAAAACAAAGCTGAAAGGAAGAGATCAACTTATATGAAACAAGTTCATGAGCATGTGGAGTCGATCCAAGAATACAATGCAATGTGTTTTCCAACCTTACTTTGCAATGCGAGGGAACGAGGTAGTGGAACTTGATTCCTAAGCATTTGAGCTCTATAAAAAGGAGAGGAGTTAGAGAACAAGGTATGCGGTCAAAACCCCTTGACTAGAGAATACGGATTCAATTAACTAACTTGACTCTTGAGTGTTGGAGTACCTTTTGTAGGTACCCCTCACGTTAGTGAAGTTTTGGAAAAAATGACTTTCATGGACGCTTCTTGACGAAGAATTCGATGAACGTGTGGACAGTCAAAAAATTTGTAGAGGTATTTCTTTATGTAAGAAATCTCGCACCAACAGGTTCATTTCTTATACCTTTTTTTATAGGTAATTTGTAGTTTCTTTGTTTGTTTGAAATATGTTATGTGTGCAGGTTACAGATGCACTCCATTTTTGAAATTTCAAAAGAACCTTAGAAACAATAAATAATTCCTTTAAAAAAAACCGATTAAGATCATACAAATTTAAATCATAAGGACAATATTAGAAAAGAAAATTAATATTTAGAAAGAAAAAGCTGACTTATTAAGACAAATGTACAGTCTTCGGACCTATTTCAGTAAATAACAAAAAAAAAAGACTATTCCTAATAAAGGGCTCACAAAATTGGGACTTACAAAGTTACAACTAGTTTTCCTCTTTTTTTTTTTTTTTCTGCTACCTCAATCACAGATTAATTGTGTTAACTAATCTATGTTGTAGGTACCATATATATCAACATATATACTAGTATGAATTAATAAATGTATGGAAGACGAATTCCTTTTAAACTAGGTAATTAATTTTTATCTATTCTTGTAGATACCTCTATCATAGGTTAAATGTATTTTATCAACTTTTTTTTTTTCCTTTTAAACTAGGTAGATTAATTTTTATCTATTATCGTAGATACTTGTGATAACTAATCTATGTTGTAGATACCATATATATCAGCATATATACTAGTATGAATTAATAAATGTATGGAAGACGAATTCCTTTTAAACTAGGTAATTAATTTTTATCTATTCTTGTAGATACCTCTATCACAGGTTAAATGTATTTTATCAACCTTTTTTTTTTCCTTTTAAACTAGGTAGATTAATTTTTATCTATTATCGTAGATACCTCTATCACTTTTTTTTCCTTTTAAACTAGGTAGATTAATTTTTATCTATTATCGTAGATACCTCTATCACAGGTTAAATGTATTTTATCAACTTTTTTTTGTTTAAGGACATCGATATTTTTACACGAAGGGAGGGGGAGTTCGGTTAAACCACACAATGGGCAATCTAATTTGGTATCGAATTCGCCATACATGAGATTCGAACCTAAGACCCTTACTTCCAAGTGAAGAGGAACACCACCAGACTGTCGTACTAAGTGGCTGTATTTTATCAACTTATGGTATATGTATGATATATAATGACATATAATTTTTTTTTACCTATTTTCCATGAAAGTGGTTAGGTTTTCCTATATAAATATTTAAATTAAAAATTTGAGTAAAAAAAACATTAATCAAGAAATTGAATTAAAGTTGAAAAATAGGAAAACCGTACTAAATCCAACAGTGTCCCAAGAAAAATTGACGTACGAATTAGGTGCAGCAAAAAAGGACAAACAATATTTAATTCTTATATTTAATCTTAAAATTGAGCAAAAAATAAGCCTATAATAAGGGAAGACATTTATTACAATTTAATAATAAATAAAAAAACTGATGTAGATAATTAGTGTATGAAACTAATCCAAAAAAAAAAAAAAACTACGCAATAACAACTCACAAAATTAAAATTATATCAATTTTTTTATTTTTGAATTATAATATTATCTTGCCCATATGAAACTAAATATGCCATAAGACCATCTCCAACCCTTGGGCTAAAAACCAAATTTTTTAGCCCGAAAAATTTGGCTTTTAGCCCAGAAACATTTTTTCTGCTCCAACCCTTCTACTCTAAAATTTTAGCCCGAAATTATTAAATAATGAACTTAGGCTAATTTTTTTCTTAAATCAATTTAAAAATAAAATAAATAAATATGTAGATTATTGTAAATTAATTTTATGAACATTTTTATCTAAAAAAATTTTAAATTCCGATAAACATTTGACATTTAGCCCGGGGGGAAAGCTGGGGGGGGGGGGTATTTGGCCCAGAAATAACATTTGGCATTTAGCCTAAAATTTTAACATGGGTTGGAGAGTGTTTGGGGGGGGTAATTTGGGGAGTAATTTGGCTTTTAGCCCAGGTTTGGAGATGGTCTAAGATTGCAAAACTAAAGATTTCAACAAAAATAAATAAATAGCAAGTGAACCTTTAGGTGGAAAAGAGTTGAACTTTTGCATGACGGTATGTATTCGAATCTCGTTGTTTGCTAATCTAACAAAATCTATCATTTGTAAAAAAAGAAACATAAATAAATAAAGATTTTGTAACTGAAGTAAAAATATATAATAAAAGGGAATTGTTATTGACAATCCAAATTCCTCATTCGACACAACACTTCCCAAAAGTTGACGAATTCACACACAAATAGACTCCGTCAAATAAGTATTCAAAAAATAAATTAAAAAACCAAAAAGCCCGTCGACAAAATATTAAAGGGAGTTTTAACAAAACATTGCTGATATTGTTCACTTTTAACGAAAAACCATATTTTAACCTTTAACTGCCACTATTCACTATACCTTTAAAAATAATTTTTTGTTAAAAGAGAAGTTTTTTTAGACATTTCGTTAGTTTTCTTAATATTTAATGATTGGGAAGTTAATGTCCGGCCCGGCCCACGTGAGTCCGTTAACCCAAAGTCCGTATCGTAACAGCTCCGTCATTCAAATTCTCCCCAATTTTCGATCTATCCGCCAATCTTCCCCTCCATTACACAACCCCCCTTTAAACCTCTCTCTCTTCTCTCTCTTCTCTCTCTCTCTCTCTACAGATCACTTTCTCAGCTACCTAGTGAGCACTCTCTCTCTCCTCTCCTCTCTTTCTCTCTCTACAATCTGATTCCATCGTTTTCTTTGACAGCCTTCAAATTGCTTACCTTCAAACCCTAAGTCTTCACCTTCCATATATGAATCCATCAAATTTGTAAAAATTGATTGAATATTTGCTTTCTTGTTTTGTTCGATTCGCACCAGGAATGGCGACCTCGGCGTTCAAATCAACGACGAAGCGGACGCCGATCGGAGCGTCCAAGGCTCCGCCGGAAGACTCGGCTGCGTTTGATCGGAAGTCGTCTCACCGGCGCTCCCGCAGCCTGAGCTGCTTCTCTCGCGGGTTGCCGGAGCGGACGCCGGCGGCTGACGATTACGATGATAATCCGGTTCCCAGCAGAGGGAGGTTCGTCAACACGGTCAGAGGCTCGGGATTCCCGGAGATCAGCCTCGACGACCTCGCCGTCGAGCTATTCGACTCCTCTGCTGACCGGAGCCGCTCGGTTGCGCGGAGCTCCGAAGCTACTCCTGCTGGCAGTGCCTCGCAGAGGCGTGGGAGGTCGGTGTCGAGGCACGGCCCGAGAGTTGGTGGTGGTGGTGGTGGTGATGTGAGGGGCGGTACTGGTAATAATTCAGCTGGAGGAAGGGTAGTTTCGGAAAGTAAGGGTAATTCAAGCCGAAGGCGATCGGTTTCGGTTGCCCGGTATCAGAAGAGCGATTCTGAGGTGAGAACTGGTGTCCTTGTGCTTTTAGTTTTGCTTTATTTGATTTAAAGCACAGTGTAAAACGTTTAGTTACTATTGCTTTATGGCCTTATTTTTTAAGGAAAACTAATGGAAAATTCTTGAAAACTTTGAATTTTAACGATAAAGAAAAAATAAAGGCTAAAGTAAATAGTATCTGATTTTTTAGCTTAAAAATATGGTTTTTCGTTAAAATGAACAATACCAGGAGTTTTTCGTTAAAGTACTTATTTTTTATACTAGTGCAAATTTGAATTAAACCTACAATTAGAATGTGTAATTAAAGATTGTTTAGACAGTATAATGCCATTGAACAAGAGAGTATTGGGATGGAAGAAATTGATATAATTTATTAATTGTGGATTCTTAAATTAAACGATTCTTGTTAGCTATGTCGGATTAGTGTAATTCTTCCACTCATTTATTTGTGGATCATTTGTTGTATTTTTAATGATAGAGTGATCTAGATCATACCCACAATCGCAGCACCATTAAGTCGAGGAACTTCGTTAGTGGAAACAACCAGACACCCTTGTCCCGTAAGTCAACAGATTCAAATTTTAGACCAG